TTTTTTTTTTTTTTTTTTTTTTTTTTTTCTTGGTGCCTAAGAATGTGGGTATAAGTCTAATTCAACTCTACAAAATCAATTTGTAAGGTGATGATACTTCCACTTATAAACTTTTTGTTATTCTTTATTTGTCTTATCTCTAATTGATGTGGGACTTGAGTTTTTAACAATATACTCCCGCACCCCAAACACTATCGGGCTTAGTGTGAGGATAGATAGTGAGTGGCCCTTTTCATGATCTAGGATAGGCAAGACTTGGGTTTCTCCCAATACACGCTCTCACACCTAGCACTCTAGGCATGGTGTGTGTATGTATAAATGATGAATGACCCTTTTTAGTGGATCTAGGATAGCTCAGATACCATCTTAAAATGTAAGTTTAGGCCTAATTCAACCCTACAAAATTGGTTTGTAAAGTGAGGGTTGTCTCCCACTTATACACTCTTTGTTTGCCTTATCTTTAGTTCATGGGAGACTTTGATTTTTCCAATACATCCACTCATGTTCAGCATTATTGGGCTTGATGCGTGAATAAATGTTGAGTGACCCTTTTAATGATTTAATATAGGTGAAACTTGGATTTTTTCCAATATGGTAATAGAGGATGACGACATATGTGAAACTACAAAGAGACTTGGTTGATTTTGGGCGAGGGTGTTGTGCATGCACCCAAATTGACCCACTCTCCACCCGCAAACAGTCTTATAATTGGGGTAGTTTTTTTTTTTTTTTTTTAATTTTTTATTACTAATCATATATTATAGTATTATAATACTATAAGGTGCTCTATAATATTTATTAAATTTTTTATAACATAATTGTATACTATATAGTAGACAAATATTTAAATATATATAATAAACAGAAAGAATATAAAATATTATCAACTGAATAGATATATTGTTTGTAAAATAGAGTTTATATGTTATTTTATTCACATATATGCAATTTTTATTGGATCTTACGATCCTTGTTACGATTCCATGATTTACATTGTTTTCCCTTTCCAATCCTGAGTAGAATCTTGAGTTTTGCTACATTGCTCACATATAATAAGAGGCACATATTGTTAATAAAGCAGTTTTATATTAAGAGTTAACTTTTAATTTTAGATTCCTTCATTTTTATTTTTATTTTTATCTTAATACATATGCATATACAAGTTGTATCTACTATCTAAATGATATTATATCCTCTAGCAATGAATCTTCTGTGATTCTCACTTGTAATTTAGTGTTCATATCCAATTGGCAAATAAGCTGAATGATATGTCAGATAAGACAAAGAATACCTAAATGCCTAGTTTTCTCTTTTACTGAATTTTAAGCTAGAATACAATGTTTGAATGCAGTCTTCTACAAAACTTATTTGGACATTTCCGAGTTTCATAAGTGACTATTTAATGAATGAATTTGTGTTTTTTATTTGTGATGTTTGGATAATCTATTCAGTCTATGTTCACGTACAAGACACTGAAATAGATCAGTGTTATGCTTTCTTCATTGATTAACATTATGCTCAGTGATATGTATTGTTTTATCAAAATATCCATGTGCAAGTTGGTATATGGCAGTGTTGTTGAATTTGATTAGAAGCAATATCGGTGCTGCAGCTCTTTTGCGTTGTGGATCAATGTTGATCCTCTATCCCAATGCTCTTGCATTGTGCGATCCACAAAAATGACTATTGTGGTCATTATGGATCTTGTGATTGCGGCATGGTTTGCTGGTGTCAAAGCAAGGTTTGTGGTTCTGAAAGAAGGAAAATGCTTCAAAAAATGCTACCAAAACACTACAAGCTACTAAAATAAGCTCTTTTTCCAAATAGGTTTAATTTGGTCAAACAAGCTGTTTAGCTAATCAAATGAGCTAGAAGCTATATATAGCTTAAAAGTCTTGTTAAAAACACACTCATAGTTGAAGTTCTTCACTTAGTAATACCTTGGTTTATTTGATTGATGTGTTTGATAAATTTCAACTTTAAATACAGGATTATCTGCTAATTTTTCTTAGGTCTTGTGTTGTATTTGATGTTGTACTTGTCTTTAATGCATATAAATTATTCAAAATTTAAAGGTTGTGCTGTATGAATTTGGTACAGATGTTCAAACTGGCTTTTGTAGGTCCCTAGGAATCGGTATTGGGGTTTGCATCCTCCACCAGCCCCTCTTGAAGATGTAATAGACGATGGCTTGATGACTATCCAGAGGGCTTCTTTCCTGAGAAAAGCAGGTGTAGAAACAATTGTAGATAATGATCTTTTTCTCAACCCAGCAAATAGAGCTGATCTATTGGAGTCAGCAATCAAGAACATTAGCAGGTCTGAATCAATTTTGTTGTTATTCTTTTCAATTTCTGTGTGGTGATTACATTCCTACCAATTCTGATAATGTCATACAGATACCAATAAAAAGCTCATACACCCTGTACCAGGGACCTTGGGGGATGATCATAAAGAAAAAATTGGGTAGAGAAAGATTAGATAGGAATATACTTGAAATATTTTTGTTTTTGTTAACATATCCTAGTAGCATTGTAAATTAATATTTTTCATGGAAGCTTTCTTGTGTTTGTAGTTATAGCCCTTGACTTGTTTTCATAACCACCTTTGTTAATCAATATTGTGTACAGGTATTTGGAGGCCTGTCGAGAAAAAGACCTAACGCAATCAGTTAGGGAGGGAGTTGACACTCTATTAATGTATCTCTATAGAGCTCTAAATTGTGTTGAGGAGATGGAGAGGCTGGCATCTTCTACAAACTGGTGTGTTGTGGTATGTGCAGTTTACTTTTGGTGTTATTATGGTTTTAACAAGTGCAAATTAATTTGTTTTGTTTTTACACAAGTCTCTTGATCAATGTTGTTAAAATCTAGATTTTACCATGGATCAAGAAGGGGGTGAAAGATCATAAGATCTTACATAACTACCTAAAATACTTATATGCAATACATTTAGTTAAAAAATTACATAGCTAAAAAGAATAACCTATAAATCGCAATATTAAACAACTAAATAGTTATAATAATAATAATAAATAATTCATTAACAATATAATATCCAAATTAAAAATAGTCAAATACTCAAATACATAAAAAAGTAAAACAATTCATAATAGAAATTAGAAAGTTCATAAGTCACAAGACTCAACTCAAAACATAACACAACATAAATTCATATGGAATCTTGCACTCTTTTCATTTAGGAGAGCATTAATTTCCTTTCAATTTGGTATTAGGCATGACATATATAACATCATTCATGGTCTTTTTTTTTTTTTGTTTGCAACAAATGGTTCCTTTTCTTGGTATGGACCTAAATAAAAAATCAATGCTCATATAATAGGAAGTTATGAAGCAGGAAATGAAATACAGCTATTTTAAATTTGGATTTTTACCCTCTCAAAGACACGGTTTAGAAAGACCCACCATCCTACCATGAGATTAGGGTAAAATACTTGAAGTATCATGTTGAAATGACCAATCTTTCTTTAAACAATCACAAAAATTATTGGAAGAAATTTTGATGCACAATAATGATAGATGGATGGATTGATAGGAGGAGGAAGACTATATTAATTTTTTATTAAACAATCCACTTGAAACAATTTTTTTTGTTAGTCCATTGATGCATCTAAAATATGCAAGAGAGCTAACAAAATTATCAAGATGCTAGATGTGGTTGAGGAGGCTGGGGAAGAAAATATTGTCACAAACAATGTAGTAGATACAAGGCAATTGAGGAGATTTTGATGAAAAGTGGATTAAGTTCTATTTGACTACTTGTGTAGCACATTGCTTTGACATGCTTGAGGATTTTGAGAAAAAGATACCACTTCATAGTGAGATAGTTGCAAGTGGTTGAAGGATTACATCGTACATCTACGATGTAACAAGTCTCATTACATAAATTTACAAAAGGGGGTTATTTGATTAGACCTAGATTGACTTGTTTTTGTGACATCCTACTTGACCTTGGGATGCTTGAATGAGAATAAGAGTTCATTAACTAGAATATTTACATCTAAAGAGCGAACTTCTATAGCAAAGACCAAGGATGGAAAGTTTATGGAGAATTTGGTTACCGATAAAGGGTTTTGGATAAATGTGATTAATTGTATGAGAGGTGTTTTCCCCCTATTTAAAGTGTTGCACTTCGTGGATTTAGATGAGAAGCCAACCATGGGGTTCATTTTTGAAGAAATGGATTATATAGGCTTATGCATGCTACAAGCTATTACCTTAATATCATATTGCATTATGCTCCTAACTTTAAATTGATAACCAACTTGAGGATTTCAAGAAAAAGAGAAAGCTTTTTGATCATCCTATAGCTCAACATGCTCTTAATACCAAAAATCCTGCAAATTTGTGGGAATCTTAATGGAGATAAACATCCATAATTGTAACAATTTGCAATTTGGGTTCTGAGTTTGACATGTAGATCATCTGGTTGCGATTTCAAATGGAGTATTTTTGATAGGGTAAATATCCAAATTTTAAATAGTGTCTATATTTCATTTCCTATTTTCTATTATATGATAATTGATTTTTATTTCGGTCCATTCCTAGAAAAGGAATCATTTGTTGCAAAAGACCATGAATGATGTGGTATATGTCATGGTTAATTCCAAATTTAACAAGTACAAGCAAGTTAGGAAGGCAAAGAATTATGATATAGAAGACCTTACTTTTGATGATGATAGGATTGTGGAGAAAAATGGTCAATTTTTTTTTCCCCTTGAATAAAGACATACTTGAAGTTGGACAAGATGTTGGGACTAGTGGTGGTGGTGGTGCACTTGTGGATTATTTGGATGTTCCTCCTATTGAAGAGGATGAAGTAGTTGGAGTTGGAGTGGTGGGAGATGCTAATACAAGTAATGAAAACGAAGATAACATGGATGATGGTTGTCAAGTGGAAATGAATGGTCTCCTAAATGACTAGAGTGCAAGATTTCATCTGAATTTATGTTGTGTTATGTTTTGAGTTACGAGTCTCACTCAAGATGTATGAGCTTTCTAATTTCTATTATCAGTTGTTTTACTGATTTGAGTATTTGACTATTTTAAATTTGGATATTTTATTGTTAATGAATTGTTATTATAACTATGAAGTTGTTTAATGTTGTGATTTATAGGATATTCTTTTTATCTATGTAGTTTTCTAACTACATGTATTGTATATAAGTATCTTAGGTAGGGATGTAGGATCTTGTAATCCGAGTTATGATATTTCATCCCCTTCCTGTTCCTTGGTAACATACTTGATTGGAACAACATTGATAAAAACTTGAGGATTTAACATATGAATTGTGATACATGAAATGCACTATATTTTAACAGTTATGTAGTTAATTATTTGATTGAAGTGATTTTGATACATTTTCATAATTAGCACTGTAAAATATATGTAGTGAATGGAATTGTACACATTATTTGTAAGAAGATTTGAAAAATTACTTTTTCTTGTTCCTGGTATGGTCGTATTTAAAGCTCTAATGAATGAGAATAGCGTCAGCAGAAAAATGAACACGAGAAACCAAAATCTACTTTGAATGTCAACCACTGGCATGAACAGAAATATTGCCTTGTTTAAAGTAAATCCGTGCTGCCCTCTAAAAGAAAAACTTATGCTGCATGATGTAATGGTAATTAACTGGGTTTGCCAGAAAAATGACCTTATGAAATACATCTCCTTTTTAGGAGGAATTGGAACAGATGCTAGAAGAATCTGGGCACCTACAGACACTTGCTTTCCTATGTGCAAGTAAAGGAATGAGCTCAAAAGCTGTACATATTTGGCGCATCCTGGCAAGAAATTATTCATCTGGCCTCTGGAAAGACCCTACTTTGGAGAATTGTACAGAGGATAGTGGGGAAAACCTTATTTCCGGCAGAGCAATTGCTGCAACTGAAGCTTCAAAAATTCTTGAGGAATCATCGGACCAAGATTTGATTCTACAACATCTAGGATGGGTATGAGCCTTTTTTAGAAGTTTGTTGTTAATGCAAATAGAATGTTTTCAACTTCATAATTTGATTAAATGGTCATTGTTTTTATTTTGAGTCTTTTCATTTCAGATTGCAGATATCAGCCAGGTTCTTGCAGTCAAAGTCTTAACATCAGACAAACGAGAGATCCAGCTTTCTCCTGGTTGGCCTTAATTCTTTAAGCATTTTATACTCATAATTTAGATAATTATGTTTTGGAACGTTTTTATTGAGAAATGTAAATTTTGAATGTATTGCTAAATTTTGACTAGTTTGGACTCTAATGGATATTATCATACAATGCCTAATGTACTCTGTCATAGGGTCATAGGGTTCTCAAATATCATAGTTATTTTTATGGCTTTGTTTCTGTTAAGTTTATTTTATTTCTGAAACTATTAGTGACTTGTTATTCATTTCTTACTGCAGATGAAGTTATTACAACTATTGATCCACAGAAGGTAGAAATTTTACAGAGGTATGCCTTTATGTTATCTGTTGGAAGTATACTCTTTTTTCTCAAATTGATAATACGCAAGAATTATATGAAGATGTTTGGTTATTGATTTGAAGGATTTGATTTCTCAAATATAGATAATACACATATCCTTCTCTGATTGAATATAGATAGGTAATACACACTCCTTTCTTTCTCTAAGGTTTACCACTTCTGTCACCTCCAGAAAAATGAAGACTATTAAAGTCTTTTATTCCTCTGATATTGCTCCATCAATCATCATAACAAGTATACTTCGTCCATGGTTGACCTCATTGGCATAAAACCAAATTGATTTTCAATAATGTGAATCACTTTTCTTAATCATTGCTCAAGCTACCCTATCCCATACCTTCATAGCATGGCTTATGAACTTAATCCATGCATATTTTGCAGTTTTGCTCATTTTTGTATATCTTCTTCTTTATTGTTAAAAGAGAGAAACAAGGATCTCATTTTTTGAATATGTTTGAGTGAGTCACACACTTAGCAGATTGATCTATTTATAATAATAGTGGTTACAAAGATAATAAATGACAACTGTTTTCAAGAAAACAATTATAAATATCACAACTTCCTAAGATACATTGAACAAGAAAACTAAAACTAATATACTTGGAATAGTAACAATCATTAAATACTCCAATTTTCAAAAATTATTGTTAATAGAGTTAAAATGCCTCTCTTGTCTTCCATTTTTGGACCTCATACTCTAGTTAAGTTAAACAATTTTGTGAGCCAACTAATGGCTTTTTGTCCTACGCCCTTAGTTAGATTTTGATCCTAACTATTCCTGCAATACCAACTTGTAGGGTGAGGGGTCCCTAAATTTTATAAGCTCTTATCGAGCACCATCATTGGTCAATGTTGGACTTAAGTTTTTTCCAATAAACTCTCCCATACCACAATGGGTATGTTATTGAGCTCAATTACTTTTCCATTAACCATCCTCTTCATCGCTTCTTTTACCACATGCTCCTAAATGTTATTATGAAAGGTTGATTTTTGGTCTTCGTCTCCAATGTTAAGCTTATCAGATATATTAGAGATCCCATATTAACTAGTACTAAGGCCAAAATAGTGTATATAAGTGGGAAGTAATCCTCACTTTTTGAGTTGATTTTGTAAGGTTGAGTTAGACTCTACTTTTTAAGATGGTATCAAAGTCTATTATAGCGAGTGAGGTCACCCGCTATTGGACTATTATCAAACAACCCACAAATTTTCAGTCTTTCAAAATTCACGCTCAAGATATGTAGTCTTTGGTGTGAGGGAGGGGTATTGAAGATTTCATGTCGATTAGTGATAAGGTCAAAATAGTGTATATAAATAAGGATCAATCCTCACCTTTTAAGCCGATTTTGTAAGGTTGTATTATGCTTAATTTCACTTTCTTAAGAAGATAAAATGAATTTGTTAGGCATAAGGTTGTTTATCAAAAGCATACTTGGGACAAAGCATATACTTTTTTTAGGTAGTGTTCAGTTACGGATGAAACTAGTTGTGTGATTTTTCTATGTACCCTCAATGTTGGCCTTCATTTTACATACCCTTTATATTCTCTGATCACAAAAGTTTCTCTAATGTCCAGCTTTATAGTTTATAGAAATGTTGGATTTACCTTTGGAACTTGGTATTTTCTTTTGTAAAAACCACTTTACATTTATTCATGTCCTATCGGATATTTTCAGGGAGCTTATCTGGGTGCATTCTTAGATTCTGTGTATTGACTGTTGAGGTTAATGTGAGGAAAGGTGATTTTGAATTTGTTGGAATAATTGAGAGATCTAAATTCTAGAAAGTTCCTGACTCTATAATTGCACATAGTTTTCTTCTGTGGAGGAAATTCTTAAGTTTACCATGACAAATTGTATAGGCTACTTGACTTGATTTGATGAGCTATGCGCATAATATTCTTTTATAGAGTGATTAGCCTTTATCATTTTAGTAATTTCAAGTAACTAAATTTCCTTAATCACTCTATTTTTTGTCCCATATAATTTTTTCTTCTGATCATATGAGAAACCATAAAAAATAACTTGATTTGGGTTTTAATTGAGCCCAGCGGTGTTGGTTGATCAATGTTGCAGATTTTATTTAAGAGGATAAGGCTAATCAATGTTGCAGATTTTGATTCTTTAGTTTACCATGGCTTCCTTGGTTTTAGGTATCTCCAGTGGTTGATTGAAGACCAGGATTGTAATGATACACAGTTGCATACTTTGTATGGCCTCTCACTTTCCAAATCAGCTATTGAAGCCTTTGAATCTGAAAATGTCTCTGAAAGTCTTGATAGTGGAAATACAGAGACAAGAAGTTTGGATACTTTGAAGAAATCAATCTTTCAGATTCCTGTTAGGGAA